TTCACACAATATATACAAATAATAGAAAAATAAATATAAATATTAAAAAAGTAAATAAATAATACTGATAAAAAAATAAAATAAATAAGAAAAAAAAATAAAAACTTCTTAACATATTCATACCTATATTCACCCAGGAATCTCCAAGTCCTCGTGTGAAAGGCAAAGTAGAACTCCGGGAGATCCCAGTGCCAGTTTTCCAGCAGCGTCTCTGATATTAGAAGCCATTGGAGATAAAAAGAGGACACTACAGAAGTATTTTTTTAGATCGTTCGTTTCAAACATGATCATCGGATCCACCATGAGTTGCTGCTTTCTGTCGTACTTAACGCTAAAATATCAACGAAGCTTGTTGAGACTTATGGTTCTAGGCAATAAACTTCGAGGAGATATCATGTCCATATCTAAGAGTTCAGATATTATTGTGCCGTCGGCTTACAAGAAATATATTGTTAAGACATTTGTCCAATACACGAGTTGGGATTTCAGGCTACCGACCACATTTGCGGCAAAGGTGTCCAATTTAAAATTCTTATTTTCTTTAATTAATATCAACAATATACGATTCATATGTGTATTAGATTTTTAATTGCTGCTCCCATTGAATGAGTAGCAGGTTTCTGCAATCATGTACCCGTTTTCATATCGCTTTATTATTTTGACTGAAATAAGGAGCCATAAATCTGTAATTATATTCCACGTCCTTTAAAAATTAAAGAAGATTTGAAAATTGATAGTAAGCATGTTTATTTTTTCCTCAATTCTTGCCCGTAGGTCTAATTTAGCAAAATAAACACCCGTACTTCAAATTGTTTTCTTTATTATTTTTATTTGGACATTCCGGGATATTATGTCCCCCTCTTCAGTGTATGATTTTCCCAATAATAGGTCAGTCCTAAAAACGTCCAAATAAGAATTATAAAGAATACACAATGTATTGTGTTTATTTTGTTAAATTAGACATATGAGCGGTGACGCGGCTGAGAGTATTGATGATTACTGATGATTTTAAAGTCGGACTCGGAGCTCTTGATAGAAAAGTTTGAATTTAAAAGCGAGAAGAAATAATTAATGAAGACAGTTCAGGATTATAAACTGATAAATAAATCAGGTAAACATTTTTGTTCTTGTGGGAATAATTGGAAGGAAGCAAAACCTTATCAGTTCTCAATATATCCCCCATTATTTCATGAACGTGGTGATATTTATGTTATAGATAAGTGTACCCTCACTGAAGTTCATGTAAATGCCATGCCGGACGAGAGGGGGGGGGGGAGTCAGCGGGTATCGCAGCCCCGTGGTCCGGACTTCGCAGGAGGGCCTATAAGGTTTTATATTTTAATTTTCAAATAAAAATAAAAATAAAGAATAGATATCATTACATATTTTCATATATCATATAGTACTTATGTAATGTCTTTACATAATACTTTTCTGTCAGGCTTTATAAAAGGCTTCGTTTGAGTTGTAATGATAAATTTAATATTTGAGAGGGACCGGGAAAATTATTACTTGGGCACTTGATTTATCTCCACAGCACAGTGTGTGTTTGTTAATAATCTACTTTGGGGCGTGCTTCTTAATACTATTGTTTAAGGAAAAAGACCTTCCTTTGCCTACGAAAATTAAAGCTGATTTTTAAAAAATCATCATCATCATAGTCATATTCCTCTTTACCGCCTATGCAGTGTGAGGTTGCTTCTTGTAGAGCTTGACAAAAAAAAAAAAATAAATAAATAAATAAATATATATATATATATATATACTATGTAAATCTTTATTTAGATAAATCTTTAAGGCCTGGCGGATCTACGAGGAGGGAGCTTTCGGGTTGAAGCCCCCTCTCCCAAAAATGAAAAACCATTTTTTTATTCATTGGCCCATATTTGTTTATGGGAGTGAATTTTGATCTAAGCAAAATATTTCAACAATCACTACTTATTCTCTTTTTAAATTATAATGCATATACAGCTGCTAAATGCAAGCAATTATAATAATAAAAATTAAACTCCCTACAAAAATATTAAATCTTGGATCTGCTCCTATATTAGAGCATTGGTTCTTTATATTAGTATGAATGAGCTCACACAGAGAAAGAACACTGGTTGAATTTTTTTTCCAGTATATGTAAAATTTAGAGTTTGATAATGATTGTTTGATTATCTGTAATTGAGGAAAATATTGTTCGTGTAATCGATCGGCCGTACTGATGATTTACTAATATTTCTTTTTCTGTTGAAAACATAACAAATTATTAAAAATATTTAAAAAAAAAAAACACAAACGTTAAAATTTAATAATAATGTTAGGCCATAGTTCTGACATTTCTAAATAAATTTAAAGTATTATTCATGAATGAATGTATTTATGAACTAACACAATATAGTACAGGAAGGAGATGGTCCGGGTGGCAGTCATAAAAAGACTAAAATAGTGGAAAAACTATTTTATTTCAAGCCAACATTTCGACCCGACTTTGCAGGTCTTCTTCATGGAGGTTCAGAAAGGAGTTTCAGTTAAAACTGTTGAACAGTTTAAACTGGAACTCTGAAACTCCTGTTCAGTTTTAAATTTGTACAGACCAGACATGTAAAGTCGGGTCGAACCATTGGCTTGAAATGAATTAATTTTTCCACTATTTTGCTCTATTTATGACCGCCACCCCGGACCTACTCCTTCCTCTAAAATACACAACGGTCAATCATTAAGTATTCAATATAACACAATATATATTTGTATCCTTATAATAATTTATGTACTAAAAATAATATACTATCAAATTGCTTACATATAAAAAAACTGAATATAATTTAAATTAAAAGTATTCATAAATTTAATCACGCATATAACTAGTTATTAGTAACTGTAGTTCTTAATAATGATTAAAATATAAAATTTAGTGAAGATTTGTTTGTTTTAGATGTATAAATGCTCCCACAATTTTTTAGTCGTTAAAAATAATATTATAAATAAATAGATATTCAGGCTGTTTACGAAAATTGTATCGATCTTTTTTTTTTCCATGTTCCATAACTTTTTAAGACATATTATTCGCCTTCAATAATCAATGCTGTCCATAAAAGTGTAGAAATCTTCTCTAGTCTATTTGATAATCTCCATATTCTGAAGTTAAGAGTCCTAAAGATTCGATATCATCTTTTACGAGTTTGTTCAATTGCATCAAATCAAGAATTACATATCTATCCTTAAGCTTGTGAGGAACCCCGAATATTTTCGTATTTCATTTTCCAATAAGATTAAACATTAAAGCAATTATAATGTGAGGATTTTAAGAATATTTTATGGACTCTTTTTAATTGTGAAACCCCTTCTTTGTGTTTGGGCACAGAATTATAGATCCAATTTAATTAGGCGATCTTACAATTGTAAAATTCTAGTTATGAAGTTTTATATGTAGATTTAAGTATAAATTCAATTTTTTCATACGCATGAATAATTCGATTGATTCCTGTAGTCAGATTTCGTCTACATTACTTTCGAAAAAACTCACCGATGAGTACAATAGCTTCCAGTAAATATAATTTTTCATTCATTGTAAATAATGTGAATGACAAACCTTTAAGCAGAGATTGATCATTCCTTTACCTATTGTTATGAAATTAATTTTCGAATTGAGTATATAAAAAAAAAAATCTGCCTAGATATATTGAAATCAATTATACACATGTTATCTCTGTATATCAGGTAGCGAAGAAAAACACTATTTATACACTCATACCATAGGAACAATAAGCTAAAAATATCATCTAAGCTGAAGCAATGTAAATTTTCTTTCAGTAGCTTAATAAACACCCTTTGTATAAAAAACCTTCCTTAGTATAAATTCATCAAACTGAAGACGTTCCCTTTAATCCGATTTTTTTTTATTGTTTGGTCCTTCTATTTTTCCTGGTAAATTTCAATTATTATATGTTGAGTGTTATTATTTATATTATTTACTTCTCTTCAAAATAAATTTTCATCCAAAATTTTCCGTCGGAGATAAATGTCCCTTTCACAGCAATAGCCAAACAATTGTGTTAAAATGAAATAGCGTGTCAAAAATATTGATTATGAAATAATAATGGCAACATTATATTTTGTTTTCCCTTACATATTTGTTTTAATAAATGTAAACAAAATTAAATATTTTTTTTTAATAGTACTTAGGTATATAAAGTAGATTCATTTAAAATAAAAACTGAAATTCATTGATAACATTAAATGTTTCATAAATAAACGTATGTTACTGCAGTTGTTTTGGTTGGTATGGAGTATACACATATTTATAAAAAAAATATATAAGTTAATTTGTTTTTATAAACATTAATCTCAATACGAGAATATTTTTTTTTTAATGCAGGTAATAATTTCTCTACAGTTTCTGGAATGGCCAATCTTATAATATTTTGAATTAATAGTAATTACAATTAAATTTCATATTTTCATTTGCCTAAAATTAAATTTCAGAACAGTGAATAAATTAAAACTGATATTTAAAATGCAGTATGATTTTATCAATTAAAAATTCTATTAATACATGCTATTTCTTATCTAAATATTTAAACCTAAACAAAAGATTAGAACTAATAAGCTATTAGTTTTTTTTTTAAATAGAATATTTTAGATTTCAGCAGGATACAGAGAGTATGAGTCCGGAGACTTTAACACTGCCAATAGTCACGAGATGGAAATTACGAACTTTAAAGTCAAAAAATACCGTTACGAATGCGTGTAAAATGAATCATTGTTAATGATTTTATTTTTATTCTGAACTTTTAAATTATATATTATGTATAAATATATTTTGGAAAATCCATAAAAACAGACTGAAAAAACTACAGAGGTATTCAACAGTAATATAGTAATAATAATGCAGCTTGCAATCATTATTTATTCAATTTATTAATGTCTGAATGATTCAAAAGAAAAAAATCTTCCAGGGAATTTACAAGTTGGGAATTGAGTGGGGAGGGAGTATATCCTTGGACAGAACAGAGATTCAGTCTAGCGTGTGGTATGTGTAGGATCGTTGTTACCTGGCCACTCCCCTGTCACTAGAAAGCTTTTACCTACTGATTACATTAGTCCTTTCAGCGATTCTCTTTTCTACCTGTTAGTGGCATCTTGACGTTTACTCATATCGAAAAAAATTAATACAAAGATCTCTTACCACCTCTAATAAATCAACAATCTGTTCGTATTCAAGTGAGTTTAACGGTTCATTTGACACCTGCTTGTGTTGCGGAAGAAAAAGCTATTTTACTGCTGGCACCACAGATACGAAGGATATGTTTACCAATGTACATGTATGTAATTATATTATATTTTTGCGTTTATGTAATACTTAGCCTCGTGCTTATTTCCATTAATTTTTTAGCATTCCTGAGATTTTTAATTCAAGGTTACGTTACTAAACTGTATTTATGTCATACTTCCACGATATCCCGTAGGACATTTAAAGATGTACAAGTTCCTTTATATCATCGTTTTTTTTTCTTTAATTGAAGTTATAAGATATTTGTGATTAATGACAGAAAGTAACAGAAAAGATTTATAGTGCAATACTTGTGCAAGCCTATCCAAATCACTTTATTTTAAAATATTTATATAACTAACATCACTTAAAATTTTTGATGAATCCAAATTTGTTGAAAATGGATTATCTTTGAAAATCTAATTACTCTTTACAGTAATTTTGAAAAGAAATATTGTGTGTTGGATATTTTCCTATTTATTTTATTTAAAACCTACTGAAGATCTTGAATATATTTGTGTGCCATTAAGACCATCAATCTATCAGATATGACATTTGTCTTAACTATCTATTATCTTTGTCAATGCAATGATTACTTCTTCGTGAGAAATTATAAAAATAAAATTAATTTTAGCAGTCAATATAATTTAAAATATGATCGTCATTAGTATATTTTTGTTTCAGTGATTCAAAGGACCAAAAATGCCTTACCATAGGAGTAGTGTGCATTCAAATGGATACTCTCCAGGTGATTATAAGTGTTAAAATATTTTAAGATCTTAAGGAGTTTTAAACATAGTTTATATCCGAATAAACTTTGCTGTCATAATGACACATAATTATGTTAAGTAATATATATGTATGAAGAATTATTTTAAAACTTAAAATTGATATTACTCCAGCGATAAAAAAATAAAACAGTTTAATTATATTTACTTCTCTTGACATGTAGTTACCAAAACCATAGATAATTTTTAAACAATTTTTATATTTAAACTATGATTTCGCTCTCTCTCTTGCTAACCAGTAAAAGCTAAGTGAGTTGTTCAAATGTTTTTTTTTTTTATAATTTGTGATAATGAACATTTAAATCAATTGATCTATGAAAGAAAGCATGTAGAAGGTACCTAAGTAACATAAGTACTTTAAAATGAAATTTATTCTCTAAGTTAAAGTTTACTACAAGCTACTTTCTTTAGATTTATTTGAAGTAAAAATGAATTGATATAATATTATGTTCAGCAACCTTTAAAATAATTCATGTTTTATTTAAACATCATGAGTTTACTGTACAACAACTTTTATTTTATTAATATATTTAGCCCATAGGATACCAGATTGATTACAATTACAATATTTTTTATTATCTAACTCCTGTTAATAAAAAGTTTATTAAAATCTGTTAATCACCGATTTGAAAACATTAAATTCCTAAATCATTAAATATTTGAATCAATAATTACACCATAATTGATGCATTCATTGATTCTTCTCAATTATTGGATAGTATAATGAGTTTTTTATTTATATCCTTGTCTCATTTCAATATTATCATCTAAATATTAACTCTTTTGTCCATTTTCTTCATCTATAAGATGTTTTTTATCACTACCAAATGCATTTTATGTGTTAGATTTGATTAAAATTTTTTTTCAGATGGACACCAAGTTCGAGATAGGGAGGAAAGCCCTACCTATCTCATGGAGCATTTGGCAACATTTACCGTCTCTAAAGAAACTGGTATAGTGTATCCAGCTGATGGAATGAGAAGACTTTTGCAGCTTGAAAAGACTAATGGAATATGGTCCCAAAAAATGCAGTTAAGATTAGAAGATAATCTTGTACTGATAATAGATAATGAAACAGGAGTATGTATTTTATTGAATATATATGTATATTTAACATACCACAAAAACCCCTATTTCTTATATAAATTGATTAATTGAAAAACTGTCAACTCTGGTTTATCTACATTTTCCAGGCTTTTTTCATCAAACAATATAACCAAATTAATAGTTAATCTCTATAAAAAATAATATTGAATAATTAGCATTATGATTAACTTGAGCAGAGATTCTCTTAGCAAAATAACAACAACTTATGTGGGTCATCGCAACTTGAATTATATGTTCAAACTCAGGTTAACAGAGTCTCCTCTGTGTAGGTTCTGTAACGGATAAGATAAAACAGCTTATGATATCACCTGTTGGTGCGACAGATTTGCAGGAACTAGGCTATTGTTTTTTTGGGAACGATAGATTGCCTGATCCGAAGTTCTGCTAGCTTATCAATCTAGAAGCACTCAGCTTAAAAATATTGAAAAATTATGATTTGGAGAAAATTAAAAAAAAGACTGATATTTTTCTTCTATTTTTTTTTTTTTTTTTTTTTAACAGAAATACATGACTTTTTCATATTATATTTTTTTGAAAATTTCAGCTCAAGTTCATAATTTTGTAGTCCTTCATTTAATCAAACCTGTATGTTTTATGTACATATACACCTGTATTTTAAAAAAATATATCTTATATATTTTATTTCATATTTTAGGATGTTATGGAAAAGTTTCCATCTTCATTAATCCAAGAACCCACAGCTTTCACTAGCCATGATCCAATGGAAATTTACAACAATATTTTAGTTTTCATAGTTGGTGATGACCGTCAGCCTAACTCTCATTCAGAGATGCACATTTTTCAAGTAGGTATTTTTTAATCTTGTAGTGATATTTTTATTTGAATTAGTAAGTTTGTGTAAATACTATCCAATATTAATTTTGTGTTAATTTTTATTAATGTCAACTTATTATATAATAAACTATTCAAAAATTCCATTATTATTATGTGCTATTTAATGTTTTTAAAATGGCAATATAGCTTTAAACAATTAAATCATTTTGATAAATGTGCTGAAAGTTTGTTTCAGCCAACAGCTTGTTCAAGTAATTTCAATAATTTATTTATTAAATAAAAAATACCTTAATTTTTTATTCATTGTTTTGATGCTATCCAAATGTGTTCCAAATAGTAGATTATTGGTTTTATTAAGTTTTACAAATTCTCATCCTAGAAAATAGAAAAATATCAATTTAATTCAGATACTTAATTAATAAAATAAAATTTGTAAATATCATTTTCAAATTTATTAATAAATAAAATTTATAAAATGAAATTTAAATAAAAAAGGAGGGGAGAAATACATATAGAAGGGTGCTTCTATGAAATTTATCTAGCCATCACTTGTAGGGTAATTGTTACCATTACCGATATTAATCTGGTCCATTTCCAATCAGATATTTTTTGGTATTCATACTAAGAAATGATTCTCAGAATGTGAAAGATTTAATTGTTTTAAAAGAAAAAAGCCATTTATTCTCTATTGTAGCTTTCTTGAAATAAAGCTTATGGTTTTGAGAAAATCCTCTTTTGAACAAAGTGCTCGAAAAACTCTGGTAACATTTTCATGATTCCTGTGGATCCATTCATTTTATTTAAAATAGTTTAGCGTTAAATTAGTTAAAAACTTCATCAGTGTTTGAGTAATTGAACACTCTCAGTGCTCGAAACATGTCCTGATGGATAACCCACATGCTTGGGTTGAATCATCTGCAGCAATAAAAACCTTAAAAATGACTACGTTCCGATGACTATTTATCATTTATGATATGTAGACCAGTCAACTAACTTCCTTCAATAGTTTAGCCATACCTAGCTTAATTTCTTGTCATTTTATTATGCTTCTTCTTCTTCTTAATCATTTCCTCTTCTATCGCTGAGCGGTGTGAGGAGCCTTCTTGTAGAGCCGAATCCACAACTCTCGATCCTGAGCCACCTGCCGCCTCCTCCAGTCAATATCCCTTCTGTCAAAGGCCTCCTTGACACTGGCCTCCCAGGTCTTCCTGGGCCTTCCCTGAGGTCTTCTTCCCTCAACTTTGCTTTCCAACGCTATCCTGGCCATTCGATTCTCTGGCATTCGAGAGACATGACCAAACCATCTCAAAGGATTTTCCTCCATCACCGTTTCGGCTGATCTTACGTTTAAATTTTTCCATGTTATGGAGTTTCTTATGCGATCTCTCTTTGTTTTTCCTTCGACCCTGCGCAGGAATCGCATCCCCATGGCCTGAATCTGACTGATGTGCTTTGTGGTGAGGGTCCATGACTCGCTGGAGTAGGTCATTATTGGGAGGAAAGTATTTTTGTACACGGTCGTTTTGCTCTCTTTACTCACTTCTCTCTTGTTCAAGAATCCTTGCTGGATGGCGTTGAAGCACCTTCCTGCAGACTTCACTCTTTCCTTTATTTCTCCGTCAATCCATCCATGTTCATTGGTGTGGGCACCAAGGGGGGGCAAGGGGGGAAGGTATTTAAAAGTTTTCACTTGTTCCAATGGAACTCCACTCAAGTGCACTATTCTGTCTCCTCTTCCTTGTTTTCTACCAATCCTCATTGTTTTGGTTTTTCCACATTTATTTGCATATTTATTTTACTTAATTCTTTCTGGAAAATGCGGAGGTTGAATTGCAGGTTTCGTCTATTGCTTCCGAAAACCACCAAATCATCTGCATAAGCGAACAGAGAGAAAAATACAGGCTGTAGATTTCTGTATCCCATTTGATATGATCTCATATTTTGTTTTGCTATTTTTATTGCATTATCTAGCACTAGTGTAAATAGCAGAGGACTTAGACTGCACCCTTGCCTAATACCTTGATTAGTTGTGAACTCTTCCGATATGTTATTGCATGTTCTCACAACATTTCTTTGGGTCTTATAGAGACTTATAATTGCCTTACGGAGGCCTGTTTCTATGCCTTTGTCTTCCAAGGCATTTGCTATGTCTTGCTTCTTCACTCGGTCAAATGCCTTAGTGAGGTCTACAAAACAGGTATATATCTCTTTGTCCTTTTCTATTAATTTTTCAGAAATTTGTCTTAAGGTAAATGTGAAATCCTGGGTACTTTTATTTGGCCTAAATCCGTATTGTTCTTCACTCAGTGAGGATTCCACTGTTCTTTGTAGGCGTTTCTCTAAAATCTTTGAGTATATTTTACTCGGAACACTAAGAAGAGATATCCCCCGGTGATTTTTACATTCTCTGTTATCCCCTTTCTTAAATATTGGGACTATAACAGATACTTCCCAATCCTTTGGAATAGTCTTTGTTTTCCACACAAGGTTTATAATGTGCTGAAATACTTCTATCCCCTTTTGGTTCATATACTTGATCATTTCAGGGGCAATCCTATTTATTCCTGCTGATCTTCCTGTTTTCAATGTGCCTATAGCATCCACAATTTCTTCTTCGCTGATAAAATCTTCTTCCAAATCGATCACGTTTGACCGTCCAGCTTCTTGATTTTCGTCTTCAGTATTTTCGTCCAAAAGTTCCTTGAAGTATTCAGTCCATCTCTGCATGATCCCTTCGTTGCTTGTTAGGATATTTCCTTCTTTATTGTTAATTCGCTTGAGAACAGGTTCTTTCTCTTTGCACATGTTTTGGAGCATTCTGTTTATGATATGTAGACCAGTCGACTAACTTCCTTCAATAGTTTAGCCATACCTAGTTTAATTTCTTGTCATTTACTTATGCTTGTAAGGTGTAAAATATTTGCAAAATGTTTATGCATAAAGCTACTATATAACTTTAAACTGTTTATTGTACTTGCAAAATTAGAAAACTAAAGTTATAATAAATATTTTGTGAAGCAACAAATGACAAATACCTTGTTTATCTATAAATTAGTATGGTTCTATATATTACTGACCTGATTTGAAGGGAATTTATTCTTTTCCTGTTTTTCTTTTATTCTTTGGCTTGAAATAAATATCATATGAATTTCACCCAACTTAGCCTTGAGATATTTCAATACCGTTCAGAAAATAATTCTTTAACCAATACTATACTGTTTTGTTTTAACAATTACCGAACACAGAAAGCTAGAGTCTATTTGAAAATAGTTCCCTAGGAATTAATGTTACCATGTTAGATTTTATTATAGAACTCTTTCAATAATGATATCTTATGATTTCACTTTAATTACCAATAATTTTGACTTAATTTACTTTTCACAGTGCCAAATGATATCTGCTCAAGAATTGGTAAAAGATTTGAAACTACTGAGGGCCGGAAAATCTTTAGGACAAAGATCTAATAGTAATCAGATCCCTCCTCCACCCCCAACTCCTCCTCCAGAACCTCCTCTGAATGGTGTCAGTGTCAGAGATCAAGTTAATCATTTCAATCTTGTGTCACGTAAGCATGATATTTTAACTGTTTTTAAATTTAATTTTACTACTTAGAAAACGTTTTATTATTTACATATATTATCTGCCTTAAATGTTTAGTATTAAAAAGAAAAAAGTTTAAAGGTATAAATTCTAAAAATGATTACTTTCTTCAGAATTGTTAACAAGGTATCTAATTATACTCAATTCACAACTATTTTCCCATCGCTTCTTAGACTCAGGCCGGTACAAGTCAGGTTGACTGGTCTGTGATTACCTCGGGGCTGCTAGAACTGTCATTCAGAAATATTTCAACTCTGTGTTATTAAATAGTAGTGTAGTATCAGTAATTCTTCACTCATTTTCAGTTTTACTAACTGTTGTGATTCACCATTACTTTATTATATTTTGAATAAATACTTATTTTTTTTTTATGTTTGATGTCATATTATTATTTATTTTTTCATTACCAAATATCACAAAAAAAATGTTTTCCTTGCTATCCTTTTATTGTTGCCCACATTTTAGCTTCAAGAGCCATTGTCAGGTATGAATTATCATGCAGATTTCATCATTTTTGAACAAACATTTTCCTTGTAATCCGTATTCAGGTTATTTCATAGGTATTAAGGGTTGGTTGAAGTTCTCATGTCCGATTTTACTAGACTTTTTACTTATGACTAAAGAATGAAAAAAAATGTATAAACTTGTGATATATATACAATAAAAGGAAATAATTGTTGTATTCAAGTTAGTAGAATTGTATTTTCGATCAAATAATGTAATGCAATATATTTCAATTTTTGTTCCTGCAATATGAACTAAAATTCAATTTAATGACTACAAAATTTCTAGCCATTAGCATCCAGCCAGAAGAGCATAGTAAGTTTAACATTAAATGGCAAAAAAGATATAATTTTTTGGGGGGAAATAAAAAAAAATTAATATGTATTTCAAAGGCTTTCCAAATTTTATGTGACAACAATTTTAATAGATTCTGTATAGGCAAAGGTTTTAGTAGATTGATTTTTTTCATTACAATGAGTCATTATTATAAATAAAAGAAAATATTAGAGATTTTTGCTAAATATAGTTACATTCAAGAATTGAAATTTAATCACTTGATAATTTTTTAATTAATCAGATTTAATAAATTGTATAGTATAGTATAGTGTAGTACAAAATTATTCTTGTTCCAACTGCTTTAATTAATTTTTCCTCCATCATGTATTTGACCTCTGAGCATCAGTTTTGAGTCATTAGTGACAAACTGCAGAAGGAACACAAACCTCAACAGCTCACAGAAGCCCTTAAACCAGCATGAACTCACCTTGCTCAATATAGTGTTCTTTAAATGCACTGTCAGGAATTTTATAACCAATTTATTTAGTGAATTTCTTTTTATATTTTACATTATAAAGTTATGGAATTTAATATTTCATAAAATATAAACCTGAGTTTTTTAATTTAAAATATTTATTTTAAATTTTAATTATATTTAAATTAAATTTTGTTTTCTTAGAACCTGATGGAAGAGGAAACAGTGATGTAGTTGGATTAAATCATGATGATGAAAGCAGTTCTACATCTAGTGAAAAGTATGGAAGAGATGTAACCACATTAAATCATTGTTTTGATGATATTGAAAAATTTATAGCACGATTACAACATTCTGCAGCTGCTTCTAGGGAATTGGAACGAAGAAAAAAGTATGTTTTATTTTATTCCTTTTATTGAATATTAGGGTTATTCAAACAACTTGTTCTGTGTTGAGTGTGTTTAAGTCAAGAAACTGATTTGGTATTATTGGAATGAATATTTCTGATAGTACACTCAAATTTAGCATAGTTAATTTCATCGACGATTCACCAGAGAAGGTGATTATGAAGTTTTTATCTTGAGTTTTACTACTTTCATTCTCATTTCATAGCAGTGTCAGTGTATTTATTTTTATTTTAAAGTTATTTTGTATTTTGGAAGGAAATACAAGTAAACCTTATTTAACCAACAATACATTTAGCAGGTTAACACTAAGAACATTTTCACTCAAAATTCATGATTATTGTTTAGCATAACACACTTATTTGTCCGGTAATTTTTTGCCCCACCATTCACAAAATACCGTCATCTCTTTGTCTCTGTTTGGTAACTTAAAATTAAAATTATTTATATAAAACAAGAATCAATTATTTTCTGTAGTATAAAATCTTCATCATTTGGCTAATGGTGCGTCATATGGACGAATATATGTTAAGATGTGTACATGGGTGTGTGTATATGTGTGCATACTTGTTTTTGGGTTAATAAATAAATATAATTGTTTTATAATAATAAATATTAATTATTTTATAGGTTTTTAATAATTCATTCAATAAATAATTTACTCATCATAGAGTTTTGTCATCCACCGTCATTGGCCATCTCCTAGCCGATTGCTCGATCCCATGCTGTTACCATTATTTGGGATGGCTGTCAAAGAACTCATGGACCTCAATTTCAACTTCCACAAAATTATCAATTTTTTCCCTTGAAGAAAAAGGGCCGTGGATTTAAATAAGTAGTAATCAGATGGTGTGAGATCTGGACTACATGGTGGATGAGACAGGAGTTCGAACCCATGAAGTTTTTTAAACTTTTCTTTGGTTTGTTTTGAAGTGTGAAGACGAGCATTATATTGTTGGAATAAAATTCTTTTTCGGTTAATCAAAACAGGATAACGCTCGTAACAACTTCGCCTACAATCTTTCCAGTTAGTAGAGTTCAGAATTCATAGATTATCAATCAGGAACAAATTCGTGATGAATAACACCTTCAAAATCCAAAAACATGCAAAGCATAGATTTTTTTCAAATTGCCCCCTTGCAGCAACCAGAAAAACAGTATGACCATGATATAGCCATTGCTCACGGGTATTCGGATTTCGCCAGTAAACCCACTTTTCATCACAGGTGACAATCTTCCAGTAAAATCTCATATCAGAAGAGTTTTTCAATAAATGTTCACAAATTTCTAACCTCTTAGCTGATTGCTGAGGAGTAAGTTCATGATGGACCAGTCTACTCCTCTTTTTCACTTTATCTAGAGTAGATGGCTAGTACATGAGTGCTTGTGGACGGATTTGACTTAATAGTTTCCTTCAGATCCTCATCAATATCCATTAATGGTCGCCTTCTTCCTTTCCAACATCGTAGCTCCACTGCTAAATGTTTCAAGCCAACGCCGAGCAGTGTGCTAGGCAAGGACACCTTCCCCTTCATATTTAATAATTTCACAAGTTGCTTCAGCGACTGAAATTTTTTTCCCAGTAATGCCTTAAAATTACGAGAATTTTGTAGGACACTGTCATGTTTATTTTTTGAAACAAATTACTAAACTGAGGCTTCTGTTGAAGAAGTCAGATGGGATTAAAAAAGCTTAGAGAATGCTCTAAAGGGATTATTAAGTATTCGTAAGTATTAAATAGGATTAAAATATTTACAGTCCTTCGAAGTCTTGAATTTGATAAAACGGTCATATTTTTTTTTTATACACCCTATTATACTAATATACCTTTTATGTATTTGAATTTTTTATTTTACCTTTTTTTTTTAAAGGAATAGGAAAAACAAAAAAAAGGATATGGGTGATGGTTTGCTGACAATGAGAGCCAAACCTCCACCAGAATTGGAGTTCATCGACATATTCCAAAAGTTTAAGCTGTCATTCATTTTACTAGTAAGTAATAATGATCTTTTATTAGTTATATGTATGATATTCTTCCTAATATAAAGCATGGCAGCAGGAACTGTTGATTAACCTTCATTCTTTCTCATGTTTTGAGCAGGTTTTTTTTTCGATTTATGTATACACACACACACACACATATATATATTTGGTTACCATTACAGGCCATGTGTTCTTATTACAGACATTTATGAAGGGAGCCACTCAAGCTCACATTGCTGCAAATCAGCAGTTCAAGAACAGTCACAAATTGGTCTAGACTATGGGTTATGGTTATTTGTGGTTAGCAAGTGGAGAAGGATTTATGTATCAAATCCAAAGCAAACAGTCCATGAACCAAACCTCCATGCAGTTATTTAATATCTTTATAAACCATGTGATTCTGGATTAAAACAGCCTAAGTAGGGTCATCATACTTATTCCTTGTCTGTATTAGTTGCCTCTGGCACATTGGTTGGCCTTATATAGAGGGGTAGAATAATTGTCTAGGTAATTATAGGCAGTGTGGCTTTTCATGAAGACTGGTCTGCTGTTTCAATTTGTAACCCGTACACTCCTTCACTTAATTATTATGCTCTGCTGTTGCTAGTTTTAACTTCAAGTTCCTATCACATGTTCCTTGGCCCACTCAGCCACCATGGCATACAGATACTCATCACTTAATACTAAGCTCTGTTTCAGTGAATTTTTAGTTAAGTGAATTGATTGGTAAGTAAAGAACTTGTGCCACGAATGCATGTAAATGTATTGAAGTAAAACTATTAAAAATATATATATATTCAACAACCATTAAATTATTTATGAAAATGCAAACCTATATTATTATTTACTGATTTGGTTATCTGGGAATTCAGAGGGTCCAGGTACTAGACATGATAATGATGTAACAATAAAAAAAAAACTAGTAAGTGGGATTTGTTTTGTAATCTTTTTTTTTTTTAATGTTCTCTGATCCACTCTTTAACTTAATTAAAGCATTCAGTATTTAGATTCATAACTTCTTATACATTAATTTTAGAGAATACACGACCTAACTCATCTATTAATTTCTTTTTCACTTCTTCATTTCTGTTCTTTCCGCACAAATTGTGTATCACTTTTAACTCTAGTAAACCCACATTTATTAGCTTTCCATCTACATGATCTTCTAAATCAGCAAGGTCTAAATGTCATACTGCTGGATTGGAGGATTGCAAAAGTTTCTCCATCTCATTAATATGCCTTTTCACTACCTAGTCATTATTGCTTTAAATCCTTTTTATAATTTCACTGCCTCTTTCACTGTAACTTTATCTTTCAAATATTTGAGTATTTCAATTTCAAGTCACATGCCACTGTCATTCATCAAATCAGAGGCAGAAGTCAATTAGTTGTTAGTGCGAGTGGTCATTTTCCAGATAGGTCAAAAAGTGGGGAAGACCTGTATGATATTTAAATTGTTTATAGTTAGCTGAATAATCCACGTCAACAACAGGATCTATGTGGATGGAAAATTATTTCCAAAAGTAGACGGACACAAATACCTCGGTTCTAGGAAAAGATAAAACAGCCATATAACGAATGTTAACAGACCTTCTCCCTCTCTTTCAATAAAAATCTCTAGAAATTTAAAATTAAGGATGTTCTTTGCTATGATAAAAGATCGTTCTGATAAATAGGTGTGAGACTTGAACTCACAACAGCATCCTGGATAGAAGAATTGAAATATTTGGAAGGAAATTGCTCTAAATGATTACCACAACAATCTGGTATCACAGTACTACTGCATGGAAGAAAAGGACCAATAAAGAATGGCTCAAGGAAACTGGTCAGTTTATTTATCACAATTTGAAAGGTGTCGTGATTGAGATGGTGAAGGCATGTAGCTCAAAGGAATCCACCAGGCAGCCTTCACATAATGAATGCCACAGCAGTTAACAAGAGACCATGTATAAGGCTGAAAACCAGATGGATAGATGGAATGAACTAAGATACTTCAGTAAATTGAAAAATAGTAGACCAAGGTAGGATGATGTGAAGAACACTGGTTCAGGTACCCAAAGATCTACAAAGTCTAGTGCCTACAAAAAAAAAGAAAAAAAAAAAGAAAGAAGTATATACATTTTTTCCCTTGTTTAAATCTCCTTGATGCATATTTTAACTGACCAATTAATGGCACATTTAATATTTCAACTTATTTTTTATATTCACTTAGCTGAAATTATGTTATAATATAATGTTTTGTACAATTCATTATTATTTTACTTTATTTATTATATTATTTTATTTTATCCAATATATTTTTAGTTGGCCTTATTTCACCACATTTATTTACTTTTTTAGGCCAAACTAAAACATCATATACATGATCCTAATGCTCCAGAACTAGTTCATTTTTTATTTACTCCATTGGCTCTTATAGTAGATGCTTCACATGATACTAAGTATGCTCCTAACTTACCAGCTAAAGTTGTATCACCTCTGTTGACTCAAGAAGCTATTAATTTACTAATGAATTGTGTTACGAGCAAGGAAACAGAACTTTGGCACTCACTTGGGGATGCTTGGTTAATACCCAGGTAATAATACATGTTTTGATTATTTATAAACAGTCAAACCTTTATGTGTCGAACTTCCACTTATTAAAAATCTCAAAATAATCAGACATTTTCTAGGAACCTTCTAAAAACAAACAAATATAAAGTTATAACAAGTACGGTAGTAACAATGTACAAAAAATGTGATTCGGTTACTAAAACATTTGAATGTCTTGGAGGTTAAAAAATGGTTAAATCCTTAAAGTTTGATGAAGCGATATTGAAATACAATATTCCAAAATTTTTCCTTTTATGCTGTAACTTGAAAAATATTTAATTTTTTGTAGTATAAGAATTAAATATAGTTCTATTTATTTGTACTGTTTTCAAATAATGCATGTTCGATATATAGAGATTCCATTATATAAAGATGATACTTATAAAATTATACTTACAAGGAGAGCTTATAGACATTATATCACCGATTTGTTTAAGGAGGTTGGGTTAATACCATTTTGTGTAACCTACTTATCTTTCATAATTTTCCTGTGATTCAGTGGAGTTGTTCTAAAGTAATGTCAACTTTTGTCATTGATGACAAAATTTCAAAGGGTCCAGCATAGGCAAAAATTTTAATATTTAATGTAAGTTAAAAATATTTACCCCTACATTGCTATGTCAGTGGTTCAAATTTGTTTCCATACATAAGCTATCTCCCAAATATAATATGTTTTCTAAACCAGCCCAGTGTCTTGAGTAAAAAATTTTTTTAGGGAGAAACAAAGTTGATATTCGTTTTTGGCACCTCAAAAGATCTCTAAAACACAAATTTTCATAGTGATTGAAACATTAAAATTTTTTGCACAAAATGTTTGCCTCGTCTTTTGAAATCTTCAGAAGTTCTGAATATTTTAGCTAACAGCCCGAAAAACAATCCTCTTAGAAAATCAAGTGCTAATATTTGCAATTTTCTATCTATAAATATCATATTCTAAATACAAATATCTATAAATTTTGTATTTATAATTTTAAAAATGAATATAATTTTCTTTTTCTTAACAAAAATTCATATGACCTAATGGAAGCCCCTTTTGGTTTTTATTATATAAGATACTTTATAACTCATAATACCATAATCAATATGTTTTTTCTTGTTCAGCACAAAAAAAGAGCTTGGTTGGTATAAAATAACCTAAAAATTCAGACAAAGTAGAGCCAAAAATCAAGACATTCAGTTTTTTTTTTTAATTATATAAAAATTGTTTTTCTCGGCTCCTAGGGCTCATTGGCAAGAACCCTTGGAGAAAGGCCTTTCGTTTTTTGTAGTATCGCCCTACCTAACCTAGTATCGCCAAAAAAAGTTTCATTGAAATTGGTGATCCTGTTCCCGTAACCTCTCCTTGTTAGTTAAAGTTTTCTTTGACTCTAATTACTACAATTATATTTTTGTATTTATTTAATGCTATATAAAAACTTTGTATATCCTACTGAAACTGTAGTTATTTGATAACCTACTTAGAAATTATATTTTATTTTATATTAGTCTAAAATGTTAAAAAAAATTAAGTTATTTTTAAGAATGAAATTCAATTATAATTTTTTCATGCAAATGCATTAATTAATTAAAATATGCTTGAATAAAGAATATTATAAGGCAACTATTGAAAAATTCTTTTTGTCATTACTATATAAAAAAAAAATTAAATAGTATGGAAATGACTGGCCATAATTTTAATTAATAGATACCTTGGGTTAGTACCAAGTTGTTAGAATCAACTCATCAATAATATCAACTCATTTTTTTTTGTACCTTGTACTAATTAATAGTAATTGTTTGCACCTTGTTCTTTTAGGCCAGACGAAGACCTACAACATTGGTCAAAAAGTAGGTTATAAACCAATGTTACACCAACATAGTATGTGTGTGATTGTTGACTGCACACCAGTTCTCTTTCCCCAATTCACTATTGCTTAAATATAAAATAAAATTACTTTTCTCCAATAATTTATTCTTCTTATTTTTTTTTATGATGGGGCCCAGCCTTCTCAGACTGGTCTCTCTCAATCGAGGGAAAAACCTAACAATTGACTGTGACCTCACCAGATCAACTCCATTGATCATAACCGTTGGCCTTGGAACTATAATTCTTTCTTCTTTGTACAAAGCACAAGACTCTTCATGAGTTATACTTGTACAATTTTTTTTTTCTCTTCATAATACATAATCCAGCCATACCTTCATCAATTTTGATCACTGTATCCCTAAGAATATCAATAAAATTAATTAATTTCGTACTAACTATGATGAATACTAGAAAATGTATATCAATTAATAAAATGACTTTTTTTTTAATTCAAAAGTTGAATATTTAAAAAAATTAATTTATACGATTTTCTATGAAATTATTGTTTAATCCAACTATCTTTAATTATATGCATAAACTATCAAAAATAAGTTACTTCCTTCTTGATTGCCTCCCTCAAACATTCTAGACATACTTCTGTGTCATCTAGTGGGATTTATTTTACTTGCCCCAAAAATTATTTGAGAATTATTTAAAATAAAATTGGTTAACATGTGAGAAGAAGGATTAATCTCACTGATGTTTTATCATGCGAATAGAGTAATTATTTGCTTTAAGAAAACATTCTTCAATCTCTTTATAAAAAAAATCAATAAAAATACAGAAATGTAGGAGGGACTTATCATGGAAATTATGACTTTAGAAGAAATAATATGCACTGGAGTAAGAGAAGACGGTTCAAAACTGATACTCTTGTGACATACTTTATTAGCAGGTTATTACTCAAGTAGAAGAAGACAATATCAAAGAAAGTCAATAATCATCCATCTAGTTTGTTAATTAATAGATTAACATACATTCAATACCCTATAATAGATATGACTAAATAAACACGATTTAATTTCGTAATTGGCTCTGTTATTCTTTAATTGCAGAGAAAAGTGGAAAGGTAAAGTTCCTCCTTACCGACCTGTTTTTATGGATGGATGGTCTCCTGATTATCCAGTTACAGAAGAAATTGAAGACCGCAGAGACCTAGGACCTCTTAGCAACTCAGTTACTCCTACAGGAAAACCCATACGAATTGATGAAACGTCTATTCAGCATGAGGTATTCCTAACTTTGTTGAATAATTAATTTAGTTGTTACAATTATTTTTAAATCATAAAATAAAAATATCCCAAATGTTATCACTGTTTATTTTTATCTAAAAATAAATATTGCTCACTCAATAAATAAAAAAAATGTGATTTCAGGTTATTGGCTTCATTGATTATATTAAACGAAACTCTAGAATAGAAAGAATAAATTTAGGAATGTTATTAAATTTCAAATACACCAAAATAATTAAATATATCATTTTATAAAGAAAATAAATTGCAAAAGTGGAGCTGGTAACCTTAACAAAAATTAAATTTGTTAATAGAATAGAAAATAAACTTTATTCTGGGAGGAGGTCTTTTAATAATAATAGTTATGAACAAAAATAAAAACCACATCTGGCCGAAAATTGGATTAATTAAAATTAAAGAATACATACAATATCTTCAGGGAAAATATATTAAAACATAAAAAAAAGTAAAACCATTTAAAAAAACAAACAAACATTGAAATGAAAAGAAAAACAGAAATTAGGGGAAATAAAAAACAAAATCTTATAAGCACTATGGGTTGATTCATAATATTTATTTCATTGTACGTCATATTGGGATGTGAGAAGGAATCGGTAGAGATGACATTTGAATGAGGACAAGCAAGTGAAGTGGCATGGCGGATATTAGATGGCAAGGAATTCCAGAAGGCAGTGGATCGGGCAATAAAGGAATATTCAAATGTCTTAATTCTATGGGAAGGGATATAAAGCTCGGAAACACAGATGTAGGAAGGGTGTCAGGTGTTGATCATTTAGAATAGGAAAGACTAAGGAAATATTGTCAGTGAAAGAAGAGAAGATCAGCCATTTTTAACTTGTCGTAACGGTGGGACATATGATACCACTTCGAAGTACCAAAGACAAATCTTAAGCAGGAGTTCATAAGTCACTTCAATCTATCCTCGAGTGCCATCAGGATGCCTCCGTACACCACACAGCCATATTCAAAGTGGGGGAAAACAAGATAGGATACAAGGAGTTTGTGGATAGGTTGTGGGATTAGGTGATGGGAGCAATGAAATAACTTAAGGTACCTATTGACTTTTGGGAGATGAGGGCGATATGGGATTTCCAGGAGAGATTTTAGTCAATGGTGATTCCTAGGTTTTTAATGTAGGAGCTGAAGGTGATGGGATGATCGCTAATGATTAAAGGAGGAAGGAAGGAGATGGATTTAAGAAGAGAACTGGAACCTGTAATAATGGCCTGAGTTTTCATTGTGTTTAGCTTTAAATTATTCAGGCTTGCCCAGGCACTGATCCTATCTAGGTCTGCCCTAAATATTGACGAATGTGACTAATAGCTCAAAAGGGTGAAAGGATAAATAGATTTGGGAGTCATCAGTGTATATATGTTGTGAACAGTGGTAGATGGATTTGGGAAGATCGTTTATATAGAAATTATAAAGGAGAGGGGCAATGCTCGAACCCTGGGCCACTCCAGAGGACAGCATAAAGAAGGAAGATAGGTTTTTGTTCAGAATGCTGACTGCTTGAGTCCGGTCGGAAAGGAAATACTGAAACCAAAAAATAGAGCTGTTGGAGAATGATGGAGATTTTAATTTAGTGTAGGGTATAGAGAGGTCTAAGGAGTCTAAAGCTTTGGAAAAGTCGAGAAGTATTAACACAGCATTTTTTCGTCCATTGCAGTATGTAAGTCATTGGCAATTTTTAGTAAAGTGGATTGTGTGGAAAATCCAGGACGGAAATCAGATTGGAGAGGATCAAGTAGTTTTGAGTTTTCAAGAAATTTGGAGATTAAGAATTGAGCTATTCTTTCCAGAGGTTTCGAAAGGTTAGAGAGAATGTAGATTGGACGGTAGTCTTTAGGAGAAGTATGATTGGGGATTTTGTTAATAGGTCTGACTAATGCTTTTTTCCAAGCAGTAGGAAAAACTGAATTCTGAAGGGAAAATTATAGATGAAAGGAAGGACTTCTGGCAGGCATAATTTTTTATAGTTTGATGGGTACTTCATCAATTCCGATGGAGTTTATATGGGATTTTATTATAGAGGAAATAAGGTCGGTTGGTGAAATGTAAGAGAAATAGAAATTATCACTATTAAATGAAGGAGGAATCACTATGTTGCTGGTGGAGGAAGATATAATATAGGAATTTAATTCATCAGGTGAAACTCCGTAGATCGATGAGGAAGAGGATTTACAAAGAGAGAGTTTACTGAGGGTTAGCCATATTGATTTATAATCAGGAGCAGAAAAGAGGGTTTCGTGAAAAAAAAGTTTGTTTTCGCTTTCCTAATCATTGTCTGTGTCAGGTATTTCCTCTCTAAACCACCCCTAATAAATATAATGCTGTTCATTATAAAAATTATATAAGTTGATGAATAAATGCCCTCCTTAAAATTTTAACCAATAACTCTTTAATATATCATCAAAATATTTCACCAAGATTTGAATGAAGTGTAATATCTGATAGATATATGTATATATATAATTTGAATGTTGATAAGTGCTATAGACTCTACTACTTGCCAACACTTCTTAAAAAAAAAAAAAAATTATATATAATTATGTATATATATATAATTATACACATACACACACACACATATATATATATATATACATACATATATATATATATATATATATATATATATATATATATATATATATATATATATGTGTGTGTGTGTGTGTGCGTATAATTATATATATACATAATTATATATATATTTTTTTTTTTTAAGAAGTGTTGGCAAGTAGTAGAGTCTATAGCACTTATCAACATTCAAACAATTAATAGATTTTTATTATTAGCTTGACATTATATGTATAAAATAAAAAATTCAGGTTTGGTAGAAATAAATAGTGATATTTATAAATCATTAAGAAGCTTTTTCAAACCTTCAAATTCAAATAATTTTTAACAAACCTATATGGAAAAAAATCTATGTAACAAGGGTAATTTTAGATTGAGAAAATACTGTTTATTTTAATTCAACATACAATTATAATCAGTAAAACTATATATATTTTTAAAATTTTATTTCCTTTTAGACCAAAAAATTGCAGAAAAATGTATTATAATTTAAAATATTGTTCTATTTGTTTACTAATTGTCCTATTATTCATCTTATAGCCTGAAATGAGAGATGTTCATTATCAAAGAGAAAGAGATAGAGAAAGAGAAGACTGTAGTAGTGATTACTTTGAATATGATCGACAGGTCCCGTCACCTACAGAACAAGCACGCTATACATTTGATAGAAACTTTTTATCCCGGAATGATCGATATAGTAGAGAAGAAAGGTATTTTACAACTTTATCAGGGATAATTTAGATTTTATATATATATATATATATATATATATATATATATATTTTTTTTTTTTTTTTTTATCTTATAGAATTGATTCTCAAAGTCCAGGAGATTCTGAAACTGGACCACCACCTCCTCCACGTAGTGATATATCTGCTGACTCCATAGAAAGAACTGGAGTCAGTCATGGAGGAGTCAGTGAGAAATTTGAACGTGCTCAAGCAAGGTGGTTAGAGGAATTACGTAATTCTGGAAGTAAAATTGTACAAGTCACGTACCCACGTACAGCTAATAATGATAAAGAGCTTAGTGTTATCAGAGGAGAGTTCTTACAGGTTAGAATAAGTATTCATATTTTATTTATAACTTAGATATTTAGAAATTACATTATTACATATGTTACTTATAATTGTAGACAATTTTCCAAGTCTATCTACTAATATTAATATAAGATCCTAATTAGATTTATCACAATCAGTTAAATTAATAAATTATAAGGTGATATTTTTGTAATATGTGGTTATAATCAAAGATTTATGTATAATATTTATAATAAAATGGTGTATTTTAATAAAAAGAAACTGTAAATTGTTAGGTTTTGGGTGCCTTCTCTTGAAATTTTTTATTATTTTCTCTTTTCAAAAGAAATGTTCCTATTAATTTGTTTATCTAAGTAGTTGAAAATTAATGAATGAATTCACCAAAATAATAATTTTCCATTTTATTGAATTGAGATAAATGTATAACCCTTCTTTGTTTATTTTTATTCTTTTTATAATATGGCAATAAGAATTACTTAATCAATTGGAAAATAAAATTATTACTATTAACAAGAAAATATAAAAATAAATAATAGTAATACTTTATTTATTCTGGCAAGTCCCTTTAGAATAATAAACAAGAACATAAATTTGGACTTTCAAACCTTAGAGATATACAAATATATTTACAATTTAAACAGATAAATATAATAGGGGAAAAAGTAAAGTTACCTTCTAACTTTAATCAGTTAACAAAAATTAAAAGTTAAATGAAAGAAACATAAAATGAGGTAATTGAAAACACACTAACAATGTAAATACATGTTTACAGGCATATCTGCTTACAATTATATGGGGACTGGACGGAAAGGAAGTGATTAAATAGGTGGGATTTAAAAGTAGAGAGGGTATTGTAGGGAGGGATGGGGTTCCATAGAGTCGAGGATCGAATAATGAAAGATCCATCGAAAGCAGCGGATCCATCTGAAGATCGGGAACAGGTATTGCAGGAGTGATTTTAATTGTAGAAACTCGGAGATGTGTGAGGGGCGGCGGGAGGGAGTGATTTGGAAGAGGAAGGATGTCAGAAAATACTTACGATGGTAGAAAGGATATAGCCACTTTAACTTCTCATGGAAACAGAGACTTCCCTTGGGATCCCGAAGATGAAGATCTAAGATTTCTTAGACCTATTACAACATGATTAACACTCCTTTGGGTATATACTGAACTGAAATTTTAAAATGTTTCCATCTATAGGGTCTCGATATAATACTTAGTGGAAGCTCACAAGTAAGCTTTAGAAGTTCGATATGGCATTTATCAAGTCAGTAGAAATCCAGAAGCATGTCTTAGTAAATAATATCCCTAAAGTTATGGGTTCAAACAGAAAGTGTATATAAAATAATGAGTTTTATTTTCTTCAGAAGAGCCAAAAGGGGTTATTTGACGAAATATTACTTTATAGATGATTGGTTTAGAACTAAATATAAGCTCAAATCAAATTTTATTGTCAGAATTGATTTAAATAAAATATTGAAATAATAATCTGTTTGAAAAGTTATTGTATGTGGAGGTAACTATTGAGTTAGTCAAATAATTGTAATACTAGTAAACTTAACTGATACAATTATTTTTTTCATATGTAATATTATTAATTAAATTTTATATATTTTTCATGTTTTAATTATTAGAATTCAAATTTATTATTAATATTTTTTTCGTCTTGAATTTTGTTTTTAGAATTAATTTAAACTTGTTTATTCTTAATATTATTATGTGTAATGGACCTAAATTTATATGAAATTAATTTGGAAAAATTTATTTTTAAGGTTCTTGATGATTCTCGAAAATGGTGGAAAGCAAGAAATAGTAGGGGTGAAGTTGCACATGTTCCTCATACGATAGTCACTATTTATCAACCCTCAGAATCTGAAGTTTTTGGTTCCAGGGGGTATTATCCTTCACAGGTATTATTGAAAATTTAATCTCTCACAAAACACACACACATATGTGTGTGTGTCTATATATATATATATATATATATATATATATATATATATATATATATATATATATATATCTGATTAAGCTAAAATATTAACAAAATTATGAAGAAAAAAAAACAACAAGAGGTTTAATATTTTCACACCTCACTTTGATTTGTCTGTTTTTGAAGTTGATTTTCCTGATAAATTAATTAAAATTCTTTTTAAAAATTAAAAATAAATGTTATGTCTTTGGCCTAGTTCCTTGTTTTAGTACTCAATAATCAAAGTGGGATGTTTCTGTCCAGTTATTTGAGAAATGAGATTTCAATATGTACATATTTACTACGAATTTGCTATTATCTTTATTGCTAAATAGTGAGGTCCAGTTATTAAATCTGCAATTCTTGTATTCTTTTACTTATATATTTGATACTGATTGAGAATATATTTCACATTTTGTATGATTTCCATAAACTGTTAGGTCATAAAATATTGTGAATCCTTTCTTTTTTTCTAAATACTATCTTTTGAATGTGGACATAAAACTATAATATTTGAAGTTTAGGTAGAGTAAATCACTAGTTGTGGTCTCTTCAACAGTTATGGTGAGGCATGCTGTTATTACTTTCACTTCAATAAATGAATATTCAACTTTTTTGTGATGGTCTCTGGGAAAATGTTTCTCTGAAGTTTTAATAATTCACTTATTAGCAAAACCTGCTCCTCTATTACTTCCCTTGACAGTAAAACATAATTCTGAGTTGTACTGTGGATTAAGAGTGGTTTTACCAGTAAGAATTCTTAAGGAATTTTCCCATTGATTTTTAACATTTGAGATACATATCTTTTTGTTTGAATTTCTACTTTTATACAAACCCTATTGTTTTGAATCTTCTCGTTATAATGAACAAATTTTCAACTAACTATAGTGGATTAGTAATTATCTGAGATTTTAATTATGGTCACCCCTGACCATTTCAAGTATAAAAAATTATTGTAAACCTAAAATGCAATGTAATTTACTGGTTTTGGTCATGGATGACAACATTACTTTTGTTAATGATTATAACTCTTTATGTTCAGTGAATCATGTATTGTGGTCCCTGGTTCTGAGGACTTCTTTTTTACAATTTTTTTTTTTTTTTGCAATAAATATTTTAAAATGTTCCAAAAGAAATAAAAATAATAAGCCATTCATAAGATGAAGATGACTTTACAGAGTTAGAAAAGAAAAGAAAATTGACGGGGCATCAATAAAATCTAGAGCTCTGTGTATGGATTTTTAATGTGGATATGTTTTCTAACTTTTAACATATCCAGTACCACTATATTAGTTTTCTTTTATAATGATTAGTAAATAAACAAACAATAAACATCTTTTAAGTAATAAATATAAATATCTCATTAGTATATATATATATATATATATATATATATATATATATATATATATATATATATATATATATATATATACTAATATAATATATACTATATATATATATATATACACACATATATATACATATACATATATACTTAAAAGATATTTTTACTTTTATACAACCAACATATTTAGCTGTGCCCTATGCCAATTATGTTGTTTATTTTGTATTATTTCATTCAAGTAACTATTTAATTGGTGTATGTTGTGAGGAGGATCGAGGAGGACGTTCAAATAGTGGAGGAATTCCTGCCCCTCCACCTGCACCTACGAATCTTGTACAACCTGCACCTGCTGAATGGGTTCGAAAAGAAAGACTTGGTAAGATGGGGGAGTTTAGATACTTTTGAACATCGATATTTGTTGTTGCTTACAACCTGTTTGTTTTATTATCCTAAGAATCCAGTTTATTTTTGTTGTATATTAATTAAATTCTGCTAAGTTGTAAAGATATTGTGTATTTTATGTTAATATCATTTCCTAATTTATAATATATGATCACTTTTTTTATTTTAAGTATTAAATTGCCATATTAAATTTTTATTAAACAAAATCTTTAAGAAATGAATTTTTTCAGAAATAAAAAAGTGATTATTAATTTTGTATATGTTACTATTTGTATGTGCTTCTGTTTTTATAATTTATGAATGTTTACTTAAAGCAATGTTATTGTGTTTGTCATAAAGTTTATGTAAACCTTTGTTTTGTTAAGTGCAATTTTGAGTGTTTCTGTTTCAAAATCTTTAATAATTAGGTGTAAAGAATGATTTAATTGTATATTCCATACAGTTTACATCACATTTTATTGTATTGTTTCTTGAATTACTTTAAATTGTTTTTCCAATTGTGTAATTTGTATTGAATAGTTGACATTATTGTTTTGTTTTGTTAGCTATTTGTTGAATATGGGTGTCCATTTTATCTATTAGCTTTAATATGTTTATTTATACATGTATTTTTTTAACTTTTTTTTGTAATTTGTCAGCAACATTTTTAGTCAACGTTGCTTAGAATTTTTTTTTATTCATCATAAATATCAATGATTTATAACATAGTATTAAAAATTAATGCACCTAATAAAGTAAATGTATATCCACTCACAGGTTGTTTATGTAATATATTTTTATTATAATTACTGTATACAAATTTTATATAACTAGTATTAAATGTAGGTGTCTGTGTGTACACGTGTATGTGAGTCAGCGTTTGTGTGGTTTACCATAAATTTTTTTAAAGTACGAATCATTTATTTTTTTATTTTTGAAAATAAGTTTTAAAAAAATATGTATTGTGCAATACCTCATTACTTAATTAAATGAAGTACTTACAATTTTTTGGCTTATTTCATTTGTTTGAGAGGCATACTATTAATTTGTTCTAAATATATATTTTAATTTCTCATTCCTGGTGATTAAAAAATTTCAATATTTTTATTTTATAAACTTTATTTGTTAGGAATTCTATATTTTTGTTGCAAGTAGATCTTTTTAGAATAAGTAATGGAAACACTGAATAATGATAAATTTGGTAAATGGTCTTATCAGGTAAAAATATACACATAATTTATCCACCAATAATGAAAGTATATTTTTGTTATTTGATATTTAAATCCCATAATATTTAATAATAATTACTAAAAGTCAAATTATCATTTAATAATATATGTCAATTCAGTGCAAATGTTAAGACAATATTTTTATTAAATAACAAGTAAAAGAAAAGTTTTTTGTTGTCAGTTAGTATATTTGAGACTTAGCTATTGATACTTAAAAATAAATTTTTAAAGATGTAAATTATATTTGAAAAATGTATTAAAAATCTATGTGAGTTTAATTGAAGTTATGGGAATTTTTTTTTAATTTGTCTTTTTGTTTCTTAGTTATTTACGAACTAGCCAGTTATTCCTTACCTGAGAAATCACCCTTCTAATTTTGTACATGGAATTTTATGATATATTTGGTATCATTTAATATTTTGCCCTATTGCTAATCTTCTGAAAAATGAAGGACCTTTAAATCCTGCTCAATGAATCTTTTGTGTGTTTTGAGAAGGAATGTAAACCATATCAATGTTAGTATAATATAATGTTTTTATGAGCTAAATAATTTAAAAAATAAAATAAACCATTGCAGACCCTAAAGGAGTAGCTTATAAATAACCTAGAGTAATAACAAGAACATATTATGGGAGTTATTAATTTAACATATAATGAGGATCTAATGTTTATTAATATTGGAACTTAAATAAATTACTACAGGAAGGTGCTGGGCTAATGATAAATCAGTAACTGAGTTGGAAGTTATTATCCCATTTTAGAATTATCTTATCAATGTTATTACAGAATCCTATATTTTATGAATTTAATTAGGACTCTTATTGGAATAAAATTTTAGTTTATCATATTTTATGTATTGAACTGGCAGATATAATTCATTCTTGTATAAATATTGTTATATTAATTAATTCACATATTCTATAAATATTAAATGTAGTTTTATCTTTGTTGATTTGTATGCGTTTAATAAGTACACATCAATAAATCAACTAAACATTTTAATTTTCCAGTGACGGTCTAATTGAACCTTTAATGGATATTTCTTAACCAGTATTACGTTGTAAATATTTAAATAATATGATGTGCTCAAAGATGTACATACTACTTTTATTTGTCTCATGCCTATTAGTGTGGGTATCAGTGCATTTATATTATATTGTTAAAGTTTTTTTTTTTTTTGGTTGTTGGAAGACTGCCCATCTATTTCATATATTTTTTTTTTTTTTTTTGACTTCCTTTCCTCCTTTTTTAGTAGTTATTGATGTTTCTGTTAATTCAATACATTGTTCTGTTATTTAAAAATTATAATTTTGTTATATTAATTAACTGGAAATAATTGATCTGATAAATTTATTTTTTTATGTCATGATATATAATAAGCATATAAAATCATTCCATGATGAAATGAAAAATGTTTTATATCCTTCAACCTTCAATTTTCCTCCTAAATTTGTTTTGTGGCTTAGGACAGTGGTTGGCAAACTGAGGATCACAAGCCAAAAGAGTCTTTTTGACGTCTTGAGTGTAGATCCTTCCAGATAAGGCTTGCAGCAACTCGCCTTCTTTTACTGGTGCTAACCAGAGAAAACAGTTCTTATGATTCTTTGAGAAAAAATATAAATAAAAAAGGTCATAAAACTAAAGAATGAAATGAGTCATAGAGTAACATCATCCTATTCACTTTTATTTTGGGTCTTTTTTTTTATTCAATCATAAATAAAAATAACAGTTTTGACTAAAATGAAATTGTTCATGAATCAAGTCAGGCATTATTTGAATTTGAAATATAAATTATGTTTTAATTGATATTAATAAATGGCTATTTAAAACTGTATTTTGCGATTATGTATTAGTAAATTCTTATTCACACGAAAATTTTAAAAAGTTCATTTTCCATTAAATAAGTAGGGATGTGAGAGTAGGAAATGGGTGGTCTGAGGAAGTGTAGCTGAATAACATAGAGGAGGTTTTTAGCAAAAGGTTATGGGTTACCAAATTAAGTCACCTATCTGCTCAGTTTACTTAATAAAAAAGAAAAAACAAATGGCTCTAATAACAAATTTCTATGGTTGCAATGTTGATATTTTGCTTAGACTAATAAATTTGCTGACCATTGGCCTAGGACCACTAGCGGATCCAGGATTTAATTTTTGGGGGGCTTCAGCCCGAAAGTTTTTTTTTCATAAAAATAATGATAATTATTTTGGAATAAAAGAAAGAAGCTAACTACCTATATGAAATGGTGTTTAAGTGATTCCTAAAGCCCTTTTAAATGTAATTACACGAACAATAATACTTTAAGAGATACTTTTTAAATATTTTTTTCGAAAGAACATGGTTATATTTTAGCATTTGGGGGGGGAGGCTTCAGCCCGAAAGCCCCCCCCCCGTAGATCCGCCCGTGCCTAGGACTTATAATCAATCCTATTTCCTTAATACTTTGAATAAGAAAGCTGCTAATTATGACCTAATGGTTTATTATTTCCAAACAATTTTACATCTAAAGTAACATTACTTTCCTTGCAACATAAAAATAAATGTAAAGTGATTCCTAATACTGCCCTAAATATATATATTTTTTTATTTTCATCATTAGTAATTTGCTAAGAAAAATAGACAACACTGCTTCAGTTGATGTAACACTTTCAAAAATTAATACAAGTAGCAGTCTATAAGGATGCATGACCTTTTTCCCATTTATTTCCTAGATCCATAAAACTGTACTATTAGATGGACTGCATGTGTATTGTAGTTCGCGGCATACAACCCTTTTTATCAAATAATAAAACTTCATGAATGGCTTCATTTTATCATATCCTTCAACTTGTGCTTTCCACTTGTATCCCAAGATAATTTTATCACAAAAGTGACAAAAAATGTGACCTACAAAAATATTGAGCCATTTGGCCAATATAAACTAGCTATTTTGATATGATGGAAGTGAAAGTCACGCTAAACGGCCCAACATTTTCGTCGGCCACTTTTTTCACGATTTTATGATTTAAGAAGAAAGCAGGTGGGTGTTCTTGAGATTTTAGTACCTCATTAAATTAACACAGTTCCAGATTGAAAACTTATAAGAGAATTTTTGTAAATAAAAAAGTAAGTTACGCAAAAATAAAACCATTCACAAAAATGTTGACGAGTGTCAATAATTTGGTAAGAGGGGGTCTGCACCATGGATAGCCAAGTGAAAATTGCTTATTTGGCGGGAATGTTTAAGAGAAGATAGCAACATATGATTTAGAGCAATACCTACATCTTAATAAACTTAGGTTTGGGGACTTATCTCTAGATTAGCCTAGCTCTAAAAATCACAAGAAGGCTTGTGTGCAATTAGAAGAGAGGTCTCAGATATGTGTGAAGCTCATCTTGATCACCAAGAAGCTGCAGGAACAATTAGGTTCGCAATAAAAAACCCTCAAAAGATGTATGCAGAAATGTTAATAGGAGAGTATATATTCAGTGTTGGCATGAATGCATCTTTTTAATATCTCTGTTAAAGGGTAACAATGAAATCCTATATAATTGTAAGATACACCAAGAAGGAATGATGATTGGTAATAGGTGATATTTTGGAGTCCATTAAAAGAGATGGATCTTCCTCCAAACCACGAAACTACCTCTATATAAGACTCAAATAAAACCTGAACTCTATAGTTCCTAGCACTTTCCGAAAACGATGGTTTTAATTTTAAAATATGACGATATGGTCGATACTATCGATGATAAAATGTGGAATATCGGATGGAAAATATCGACATTT